AATCTCACAGCATTGTGTTCGGGATCCAAGAATCCGGGTCCCGGGATCACGGCAGAGCCTTCGTCCGTCAGGAATGCGAGGAAGAATGTCAAGGACAAGGAATTTGTTCCTGATAAGAAGCTGGCGGATTTGAGGAAATTGATGAGCGAATCGGGTGTCCAAGCTTACATCGTGCCTTCGGAGGACGCTCACCAGGTACTTGCGTCTTCCTTGAGAATGAAAAAAACGACTCTAGGATTTTTTTTTCTTGTCATTTTTGTAAGTAGCTCACTGCTGCGTATGCAGAGTGAATTTATAGCCGAGTGCTTCACGCGACGAGCTTACATTTCAGGATTCACGGGAAGCGCAGGAACTGCTGTGATCACCTTGGAGAAGGCTGCGCTTTGGACGGATGGTCGATACTATCTTCAGGTAATTGATTCAACTTCATTCTTTTGCTTTCTTCCTGCACAGATTTCTCATTGTTTTTTCTGCTTCTGTGTAGGCTGAGAACCAACTTGGACCTGAATGGACGCTCATGAGAGGTGGCTCTGTTGGCGTGCCTTCATACAGTGAGTGGCTCAGGGACAATCTCTCTGCTGGTTCGGCTGTAGGCATTGATCCTGTAGGTGTCGAGACAATTTTTTTGAGCTACGGTTTTTCTTTTGCTTTTCTAAACCTCCGTTCTCATGTAATTATTGTCTTTAACAGTTTCTTGTCACCCACGAAGGTGCGGAGGAGCTCAGGCGAACCTTGTCAGCCAAAGAGATTCAACTCACTTTTGTCGATCGCAACTTGATTGATAAGATTTGGCTCGATGGGAGACCTTGTCCGCCCAAGTCTCCTCTGAGAGTGCACGATTTGATTTACGCTGGCGTTGATGTCGCAGGGAAGCTCTCGGATGCGAGAAAGAAACTTTCCGCAGCTGGTGCTACTGGCATCGTGATAACCATGCTCGATGAAGTTGCATGGCTGTTTAATCTTGTAAGTGAATGTCTATACTTTTCTCTTCTGAATTTTTATGTTCCAGCGTGGTGGCGATGTCCCTCATTCTCCAGTGGCTTATGCTTACGCGCTTGTTGACATGGATAAGGCAACTCTTTTCACTGATTTGTCAAAGGTGACGCCAGACGTTGAGATGCATCTGGAAAACTCTTCCGTGACCGTCAAAGAGTACTCCGCGCTCCTATCAACTATTCAAAGGTGTGCTATCATTTTGATGTTAGGGAGTTGCTAACGCAATGTTTTTTTAGATTAGCTGAGTCGGGCTCAAAATTGTGGCTAGATCCAACCAAAACCAACATGGCCATTGTGAATGCATTTTCGGAAGGATGTACGAGCTTTTATGCCAAAGCGGATGTCGACGGGAAAAATGGAATATCAGATGGACCGGCTGCATTACACAGACCATCGCCGCTATCTGTGCCGAAGGCCATAAAAAATGCTGCTGAGATGTCAGGGATGAAACAAGCACACTTGAGGTAAAAGTTCCGTGGTTTTCTTCGTAATTGTAACCGGATCTCTTTCCGAGCAGAGATGCTGCAGCACTGGTTGAGTTTTGGGCTTGGCTCGAAGTACAAATCGTTACTGAGAAAGCCAAGCTTACGGAGGTGGAAGTTGGCGATGAACTTTTCCGCTTTCGTTCCAAACAAGAAGGATTTCTAGAAACTAGCTTTGACACGATTTGCGGTTCGTATTTTTTACCATTGCAGAATTGTCGGCTCTTACCAGTCCTTACAGGATCGGGTGCAAACGGAGCCATTGTTCACTATAGGGCGGAAAGTGATACGTGTGCTTTAGTGGATGATGAGCACATGCTCTTGCTTGACAGTGGCGCGCAATATACAGATGGAACAACAGATATAACCAGGACTGTTCATTTTGGGGTGCCTACTGATTACCAGAAAGAGTGTTTTACGCGAGTTTTACAGGTACGCTCCGGATCATGTCTTGTCTTTTTAGCTGACTTGTTTGTATTTTAGGGGCACATATCGATTGATCAAGCAGTTTTCCCAGAGAATACTCCAGGTTTCGTACTTGACGTTCTGGCTCGTTCGTCCTTGTGGAGAATTGGACTTGACTATCGTCACGGTATTTTGTTCTCACCTGCAGTGAATCAAGTACTCTCTTGACTATGCAGTGGAAATATAGGAACTGGCCATGGAGTTGGCGCTGCTCTCAATGTCCATGAAGGTCCTCAAAGCATCAGTTTTCGGTTCGGAAACATGACTGCGTTGCAACCGGGAATGATAATCAGCAACGAGCCTGGTTACTACGAAGATCACAAGTTTGGAATTCGAATAGAGGTGAGACAGAAAATTTTCTCTTAACACTCTCTTTTGTCATTCTTTGTGCAGAATTTACTTCATGTTTGCGAGGTGGAGACACCAAACCGCTTTGGAGGAGTTTCCTATCTGGGATTTGAATGCCTGTCATTCGTTCCAATCCAGGTAATGCGACTCACATTCATCCAATCCCTCACTCCTCTGTTCTTCTTCCAGACAAAACTCATGGCCCTCCATCTCTTGTCCGACGAGGATATCTCTTGGGTGAACAAGTATCACGCTGCAGTCTGGGACAAGGTAAGCTTCCATAAGAAATTACCAGTGAAACCACTCTTTCATTCATCAGGTGTCTCCGCTTGTGAATGAGAGCGCTCGCGAGTGGCTAAAGCGAAATACTCTTCCTATCAAAAGAGCGTGAAAGGTAATCAATGTGAATCCTATTGTCTCATGGTAAACAGTATGTGAATCCTATTGTCTCATGGTGAACGGTAACTATTGTCACTCAATGTGAATCCTATTATGGAGATCACACAATGAACTTATCCTATTGTCTCAAGGTGTTAGCCATTGTCGTGATTTTATTCTGGAATATATCCTATTGTCTCAAGGTGAGCTATGGATTCCACGGCGATGACGCTCGACAAGATCACGTATGGCGCTCCACTCCGGGGTTCCAGTGACACCACATTCTCCGCCGCTCGAGCCCCCATGGCCAGATCTGGCTGGCTCTTGCAAGCGCCCAGCAGCGTCCTCCAATCCAGCCGCGATGGAAGAAAGGGCATGGAATCCATGAGATCTTGCGCGTCGCGGAGCTGCCCGGCGCGGCTGAGCGAATCGACAAGGCAGCTGTAGTGTTCTTTGCCCGGATCGAGGCCGAAATCCCCCGCGATGGAGAGGAAGAATCCCCTGGCCGATTCCACGAGACCAATGTGGTTGCAGGCGAGCATGACGCTAGCGAGCGTGGATCCATCGGGCTTGACACCTTCTACGAGCATCGCGTGGAAGAGATCGAGCGCGAGCTTTCGCCGCTCCACCGGCCCCGCGAGAGCGAAGGATTCGATCATCGTGTTCCAGGCGTGCGTGGAAGAGCGGTCGCTCAGCATCCACGGGAAGAGATCCATGGCCTCGGCAAGGAATCCATTGAGCGCGTACGAGGCGAGCAGCATCGAGCACGCGATGGCGTCCCACTGGGGCATCCGATCGAAGAGCTTCTTCACGTCGTGGATCCGCTGGCTCTGCGCGTAGCCCACGATCATGGCGGTCCAGGCGACGAGATCGCGGCAGGGGATGGAATCAAACATCGCGCGCGCCTCCTCGATCCTGCCCAGCTGCGAATTCCCCGAGAGGAGGCACGTCCACGCCATGGCGCTGTGGCGGGGCATCCTCTCCAGCCAGATCTTGGCCGACTCCATAGCCCCGCTCTGCACGATCGATTGGATCATCTCAAACCAGGATACCGCGTCCCTGCGAGGGATCCTCTCGAAGACCCAGGTGGAATCCTCGACGCTGGCACCGCACGACTGGAGCAAGAGATTCCAGGCGACGGTGTCTCGATCTGGCATGGAGGAGAACAAGCTCCAAACTCTCTGGGGATCCCCAGCCTGGGCATACGCTTGGAGCATCACGTTGGTGGAGACGAGCGACCATTTCGGGCATCGATCGAAGAAGCAGTGCTCTGCGTCCGCGATGGAGTCGCAGTAGAAGATTAAGGTGGTCCATGACACGGCATTCCTCTCGGGCATGGCTGCAAACACAGCCTTGGCCTCGTCAATATGCCCTTCTTGGGCATTTGCTGCAAGCATAGAAGTCCATGCTACCACATCTCGCTCGGGCATTTTGACAAAGATCTCTTTTGCCTCTCGGAACTTCTGTTTTGTGGTGTATCCATGGAACATTATATTCCAGAGAACCAAGTTTCGATCAAAGCCATGATCAAACATCACCTTTGCCTCGTCCAGATGCCCGTTCTGGGCATACGCTGCTACCATTGCCGAGAAGCTCACTAGATTCCCCCCGGGCATTTTATCAAACACCATCTTTGCAAAGATGACAAGCGCGTTTCCCGAGTAGGCCTGTAACATCGCTGTCCACGAAACAACGTTCTTCTCGCTCATCTCCTCGAACATTTTCCTCGCGGAGGCGAGCTCACCCACTTGGGCATATCCCGTGATCATCGTCGTGCACGAGACAACGCCGCGGTCTGGTGCTGTGAAGAACAATCGCTCGGCCTCGCCCAAATCTCCGTCCTGAACGCTGGCACCGATCATTAGATTCCAAGAGACTATGCTCCTCCCGGGCATCTTGTGGAAGACCAAGCGCCCCTCTTGGCCATGCCCATGCTGCACAAATCCCGACGCCAGAATCGTCCAAGACACCACATTCCTGGCGCTCATCCGATCGAAGCACTCCTTGGAGCGCGCCACCTGGCCGTTGCGATTGTAGGCCTGGATCAAAGCATTCCAGGAACTGATCGATGGCCTCGCGATCCCCTGGAACACCGCCCTCGCATCCTCGATCCGCCCATAGCGGCCATACATCTGGACCAGCGCATTGGCGAGGAACCTGTTGTGCCTGTGGAGCTCGCTCGCCCCAATCCATGCCTGGATCTCTCTGGCGCGCCGGAAATCCCTCGAATTCCCACACTGGAGAAGGCAGTCGATCGCCGCCTGGAGCTGCGGGCAGAGATCTTGAGCGCGGCGGCACGAGCAGCAAATTCTCGACAAGGCCTCGAGCATAAAATTCCAAGAGCCCTAACGGTTTTTTCAAGTAAGAATATCCGAGGAATAATCATCTCAAGAACCCTAAAAGGAATATCCCTGCGAATAATCCTATTTGTTGTGCTTGCAACGGCAACGAAGCAACGGACTCCAATCCAAGCGACACATCCAGATGCAGCAGCAGCAGCAGCAACAACAAAACAGAGAATCCTTGTCAATCACCATCTCTGTTGGGGAGCTCTTGCTACTGTGATAGCAGCTTATGCAAGGAGACCTGTGAATCGCAAAGCTCAGGAAAATTTTCTAGAAGGACCATGGCTAGCTTACCGAGGTAGACATTTTCATGACCTCTCTTATCGCCATTGTGGCATAGGCCGACGTTGGGAGAGTGAATTGCAGCTGCAATGCCAGAAGGCTGGGGCCTTGAGTGGAGTTTGCATCTTCTTCTGGAAGGCTAGTGCTAGGATCTTGGAGCAAATCCATGTCCGTTTTTGTCAGAGGATTCCGGGAGTCGCTGTACGAGGATAATCTCCTGGAACCGAAAGATGTGAGTTTTGGGACATTGAAGCAGCCGGACAAATTACCACTCGAAGTCGATAGGCTTCACGAGTAAGTTTCGATATGCTCCTGTCAAATACTCCACCGAGAACTCTCTACAAAAATTATCAAAAAGGAAGTAAACAAATGTTGGATCGAAACACATACTTCACGTTGTGTGTACAAGACTTCAAATCTATTGATTCCTGTAAGATGAAAGCGTTAGTTTGTACATGAAAACGTTGGAAACGAGCTAACCATTTTCGTGATTTTATTGTAGACATCGGCCACATCGTTTGATGGATAAACAGTGGTGGAACTGCCAAAAGAAATCAGTATCCGGAAGCAAAAAAGAAAACTCACAAGCATGCTCACCCGACTAAAGGCAAGACCACGTCGGTTATCGCATACTTTTTCAAGGCAATATCTTCCGCTGTGACATGCTAGAATGGTGTTAAAGCGGTAAGATTTTCCAGCAATCTGGTTACCTTTACTTTCTTCCGAGATGGGCGAGCGAGTTCCATGCGAGCGTCATCCTCTAGGACGTCCGTGTCTACAAGATCCTCAAGTTCCACATCATCTTTCCCGGCTTCTTTAGAAATCTCATCCTCTTGACAGTAGACGAGATCACCTTCCACAACAGCATCCACCCCTGTAAAAGCTACGTCTTTGACACCGTTTGAGAATGACAAAAGTGGATTACCATATTTTTGTATCCTCGCGCTTGCAGCGCTGTTCCACAAATAGCTTTGGTAGCTGTGGACGTACCTGTAGAACAAGCTTAAGAAAGATCACAAAACAAGTAGAAAGCTCTTGCAAACTTACATCATCCGCATTGGCCTGGGAATGTTTTGGATGGCCTGTAAGTAGTTTGCAGGATCCTTTTTCAAGCCAAGAAGCTGCGCCAACAAAGAACGAAACATGGATCAGGCCCGTCATAATCTTGACATCTTACAATGGCTCTTTCGGCAATCATATGGTGCGGCATGAGCTTTAAGGCCTCGGCAGGACCAGCAGTCTTGAAGATCTTACGAGATTCCTCAGCTGCTTGCTGCTGTGTAAACCGCGTTAAGGCACCAAAAGTTTTCGGTTAAAGCATTTAAAAAAAAATAGAAGAAAAAAAAAGGATATCTCCTTCTCTCTCTTGGAGTATCAGATCCACTGCGGTTTTCCAGTCACCTTGGAGCAGCTTGGCGCCTATAGCATGCGTCGGCACACCACAGCTTCCAAAACGCTGCAAAAATGTGAAGGTAGTACGTACTCTAGATCAAAGTCATCACATACCTGCAAGCCATAGTAGTTGATAAAACCAGAGTTCCCCATGCCCTCAGCTGCTTCCTTGATCGCATTCTCGGACTCTGCAACGACATCACTGCACGCAGTCCATTAGAGAATGCTTTCCATCGGTTAGAAATCACCGCAAAATCACGTTGAAGCGATTTCCAGAAAGCTCTCCAAGAACTAAGCCCTTCTCAACGTAGCTAAGAAAATTTAAAGAAAATAAAAAATGAAATTGGAAAGAATGTTAGAGAGAAAAAACAGTACCTAAAGTTTCCTAGCTTGATACCAAACAAGGATTTGTTAAGTGCTGCGAGTTGTGTTGCTGAATGCTTGTAAACAGTGACCTGGAAAAAAAATATTGCATTTTTTTTTTCTCCAAACTCTAATGGCGACTAAAAAGAAGTTCTTACCCGCTGCGTTGTTACTGCACGCTTATCTTTCGTCCCCGCAAAACCCATGTTCTTTGCCTGGTAAGAAACTTTAGAAAAACTAACAGTTACGCTCAGGTTACCTTTACGCCAATCTTCTGAGCTACAATCATCAAAGCCGACTGCGTAGTCTTGTTCTCTTTGTATAGGTAAAACCTTACAAGGAAAAGAAACCGAAGCTTGAGAAAAAGAACCAGGGAAGACAAAAACTCACTGGCAAAACTTGTGTCTATCAGCTGGCCAGTAGTTTCCTGCGCGACGATCAAACTTGTCACCGTCTTGTCTCTGTCGCTTCGATTCATAGCCTCGCTTTCCTTTCCAGCTTCGATTCCTTTTGCCAGCTCGATCGTCAGAAGCTGAGCCGCCACCGTATCTCACGCGAATGCGATTGTCCGCCACAGTATCAGTTATAAGCATCGGCATTCTCTCCCGAAAGAACGCGTGAACTTTCTGCAACACGAAGACCTTACTTTCATACAACAAGAAAGACAAGCAGCAAAGATACCGTGCGGCTGCCTTTATCCTCGTTTGGCGTGAGAGTTTCCACCAGTGCGTTTCCATCATCGGCCTGTTCCGGAGAAATCTTGTCAAGGAGCTGCTTGACAATACGAGCATTCTCCTCGCCGGCGAGTTCCTTGAAAGCATCGAGCTGTGCTTCGTATGAAGCCACGGAAAACTCCGCGGCAGCGGCCTCACTCCGGGTTTCATCCTGAAAGACGAAAGAGAAAAACGAAGCTAAACAGCCATGATCAAGAATGGAAACGTCAAAGGACCTCTGGTGGCGCTGTTAAGCTCGTCAATCGCACCACATTGCCATCGAGATCCACCTCGTTAACGATGAAGTCGGAGTACCTGAAAGAACGGAATGAAAGAATGCAACCATGGCTGGAGAGAGCGCGGCATTCTCCATACCTTTGCTTGAGAACAGCTCTAAAACCGGGGAAGGAATTCGCGAAGCACAAAATCCCAACATCCTTCTCCTCCATCGCACGACCTAACTAAAACCCTAACACTTAACAAACTTAAATTGTTCGAATCCTCTTCTTTTCCTGGAAGTATTTTGGTACTCTGTCCAAAAACAAAGATCTGCCACCTTAACGAAATGATATGTTGTCTTGAAACGAAAATCTCCTGAATAACACAAATTTCCATAAAGGTAGATGACAGAGATTTCTTTTAGGTCAATGTTTTTTCATATCCTGCGACAAAGTAGCCAGCTAGCGGATGTTTTCATGTCCAGCTGTGGACCACGCCCATCGCTGCGATCGCCAAAAACATCGTCAATCCCTTCCGCCATTGTCATTCTAGCCACTATAAACCACCACCTAAATCGCCCAATTCACTCTCCTCCCACTTCCATTATCAATCTCGAGCTTAGCCTCGAGCTTCTAGCGCTAGAGATCAGCGGTTGGTAGGATCCCGAGCTTTGCTAGAGCTCCAAATTGATCACCATGGCGGCCCGAACGACCCCAATCACGGCCGTCACCCCGGAATGGCTCGAGAAAGGTGACAACGCATGGCAGCTCATCTCCGCCACGCTCGTTGGCATGCAGAGCGTCCCGGGGCTCGTGATCCTCTACGGCAGCATCGTCAAGAAGAAGTGGGCCGTGAACTCGGCCTTCATGGCCCTGTACGCGTTCGCCGCCGTCTTGATCTGCTGGGTCTCCTTCGCGTACAAGATGTCTTTCGGGCACCAGCTCCTCCCCTTCTGGGGCAAAGCCGGGCCGGCGCTCGATCAGAAATTCCTCCTCCGCCAAGCCCATCTCTCCGCCACCGAGTACAAATTCCACAATGGAACGGTCGAAACTCAGATGGTGCAGCCTTTCTACCCCATGGCAACGATGGTGTTCTTCCAGTTCGTCTTCTCGGCGATTTGCTTGATCCTCATCGCAGGATCGCTGCTCGGGCGGATGAACATCCACGCGTGGATGCTGTTTGTGCCGCTCTGGCTCACGTTTTCGTACACGGTCGGGGCATTTAGCCTGTGGGGCGGCGGGTTTTTGTTCCAGTGGGGAGTTCTCGATTACTCTGGAGGGTATGTGATCCATCTCTCGTCAGGGGTGGCGGGATTTACAGCAGCATATTGGGTAATATCACTCTCGATCGATCACAAAGTTATTCTAAACTTCAGAGTTATTCGCGCAGGTTGGTCCAAGGCTGACAAAGGACCGCGAGAGATTTCCCCCAAACAATGTTCTTCTCATGTTGGGTGGCGCTGGATTGCTCTGGATGGGCTGGGCTGGATTCAACGGAGGAGATCCCTACGCCGCAAACATCGATGCATCGCTCGCGGTTCTAAACACAAACATCTGTGCCGCCGCAAGCCTGCTCGTCTGGACGGCTTTCGACACCATCTTCTTTGGCAAGCCGTCCGTAATTGGAGCGGTCCAAGGGATGATCACCGGGCTCGTTTGCATCACTCCTGGAGCTGGTGAGTATACAAATCAAGCATTTCTTATCCCCAATCTATACTCGATTAAATTGACAAACATTGTGTGAATTCCAAGGTCTCGTGCAAGGTTGGGCAGCGATTTGCATGGGGATTCTCTCCGGCAGCATTCCATGGTACACGATGATGGTCGTGCACAAGCGATCGCCCTTCCTTCAGAAAGTTGACGACACTCTGGCGGTTTTCCACACTCACGCGGTGGCGGGAACTCTCGGGGGATTTCTCACGGGTCTTTTCGCGCAGCCAACGGTGACGGGAATGTTTTCGTCAGTCCCGGGAACTCACGGGGCGTTCTACAACCACGACATTAGGGGAGCCATGCAGGTGGTGAAGCAGCTCGGAGGGGCGCTGTTTATCATCTCCTGGAACTTGGTGATGACCAGCATAATCTGCTGGGTGATCAGCAAGATCGTTCCTCTCCGGATGCCGGAAGAACACCTGATGATCGGGGACGACGCCGCGCACGGCGAGGAGGCTTACGCCCTGTGGGGCGATGGCGAGAAGTATGATTCGTCCAAGCATGGGCTCTACAACGAAGCCGTCGAGGCTGGAAATCGAGGAAGCTCGAGATACAACGAGCCGCCAGTTGCGGTTTGAGAATCAAGGTGATTCTTTTTCTTAGAGATTCTTGGAGATTCTTTGCAGAGAATTATTTTCTTTTTCCTTTTTCTTTCCGTCATATTTTGTTTGCTTTGGACGAGAGAGAGGCTTTCATGGAGCTGCATTTGTCAAAATTCTCTCCTGGTTCGGTGGCTCTTCGATTGTTGGGCCAATCTTTTGTCGCCAAGATAATAAAAAACAACCACGCATTGTTTTCTTTATGATTAGTGACCAAAATCGCGCATCCAACGGCGCATATCAGCTCCTGCCGGGGCAAAATTCCACCACGTAATTCGTCCCGGAATGGCAAGTAAATGTGCTGCTGTGATCGTCGTAGGCATAGCTCTACGGGGCCTTGAACATCTTGGAATACATCGTGGGCGCACACGTGGACGGCTCGGAGCTAACCCCGCGGCAGCAGAATCTATCCGTCTGGAACACCGAGCAGGCGCTTCTACACGCCACCACGTTGCCATTCCGTCCCAGAACACACAGCTCCATCGGACAGTTGGAATTCACACCGCTGTGGCACCCCGCCGCCGTACAGTTCCTGTGCACAGGGACGATCCGTACGGGCAGGTTATAGCCGTCCACCAGCAACACGTCGTAGAAATCGCTGCGATCGTAGCCGTCCAGCGTGAGCTCCGCGATGGTAAACGGTGGCTGGCCGCCAATCCCCCGGCATTCCAGCTGGGAGTCGCAGTCGCCTATGTCGCAGCCCAGGGTGGTGTCGTTGGAGGAGGGGGCATCCTGGTCTCCAAACTGGCAGTTTGTGCGCCACCAGACCGACGGGGCACCACGTGGGATTTAGTGCTGTGCCCAGGACCCACCATTGGAGATCCCAGCCAGGCCGGCCATACTGTGAAGGGGCAAGAGTTCTTTAGTCTCAGCGTGACGTTCCTTGAGGTAACAAGGAGGAAAAAAAAGCTATGAAGAAATCATTGAATAAATGGAACAATGCATGAAATATTTGCGATCAATCGAAAACATTCCATGAAAATGACTAAATTTTTTCTTGATCGATCGATGGAGCTTGAGAGCTTGCCTTGAAAAATGCTAGCCAAGAGCACAAAAATTGCAATGGAAATCCTCATGGCCCTCTGTGTGTGCGCCTGTGGTTCGTTCACGGTCTCAATGTAATGATTTAAATCGCCCTTTGTTTGCCACTCTTGGCTCTCGCGAAAAAGTATATGGTTTTCAAACTAGGTGAATATTCTGCGGCCCGCAAAGAATATGCTTGCACGAATATACTTTGTCTTATTCGTGCCGAGTTTTTATTCGCCATCGAGGGTTTAGCATCGCAGGTCTTTTTCTCCCTTCTCGGCTCGATTCGACTCTTCTCCGATCAATGGCGCCATCGATCCAGCAAGTCAAGGCGCGCACCATCTTCGACAGCCGCGGCAATCCCACTGTGGAGGTTAGATCGATTTCATTTGCATGGAGAGAAAAGGCACTGACTATGGCAAATCTCGCAGGTCGATGTTGTGTTGTCTGATAAATCGTGTTACAGAGCGGCTGTGCCCAGCGGCGCCTCCACTGGTAAATCAATCGATGCCTTTTTCCTTCGGTTCTTATTCGTTCTAATGAATGTTACTTTGTAGGGGTGTATGAGGCTCTGGAGCTTCGCGATGGAGGAAAAGACTACATGGGAAAGGGGGTTTCAAAGGTGATTTTTTGCGTTTGCTTTTGGGGAATTTCTGCTCGACAAACCAAAGCTTTGATGTAGGCTGTGAACAATGTGAACGCGATCATTGGGCCTGCTCTTGTTGGAAAGGTAACGGATTTATCAAAGAATTCTAGCTCCAACTTAACAAAATCTTGTACAGGATCCGACCGATCAAACTGGTATTGACAACTTCATGGTTCACGAGCTCGATGGAACACAAAACAAATGGGGCTGGTGCAAGCAGAAGGTAGTAAAAAACTTTGCTTTTTTCTCGAGCTCGCTCATCCTCTTTTCGTTTCTTTGTTCTAGTTGGGGGCCAATGCTATTTTGGCCGTGTCTTTGGCCGTGTGCAAGGCCGGAGCTGGCGTTTCCAAAATCCCTTTGTACCTGCACATTGCCAACCTTGCCGGAAACAAGAAGCTTGTGCTTCCCGTTCCTGCCTTTAATGTTATCAACGGCGGCTCACACGCCGGCAACAAGCTTGCAATGCAGGAATTCATGGTTCTGCCTGTTGGAGCTTCTTCGTTCCGAGAGGCCATGAAGATGGGAGCTGAAGTCTACCATAGCCTGAAGGTGCATGTTTTTCTTTCTAGATTCCTTGCCTCTCTAACCACGCAATTGTCAAAACAGGCTGTTATCAAGAAGAAATATGGCCTAGACGCCACTAATGTAGGAGACGAGGGTGGTTTTGCTCCAAGTATTCAGGTAAACTGTTGTTTTCTCGTCGTTTTAAATTTTTATGTTGTGCCTTCGATTTGCTTACAGGAAAATAAGGAAGGTCTGGAACTGTTGAAGACTGCTATTGAGAAGGCTGGCTACACCGGAAAGGTAGAAACAAGGTTTTTCTCTTTACAATTACAAAGTGGAATTGATTCTCAGGTTCTCATTGGTATGGATGTTGCTGCATCCGAGTTTTACAACGAAAAGGACAAGCAGTACGATCTTAACTTCAAGGAGGAGGTATGATTTTCAACGTTTTGGAAATGGTTTTGACTAATTGCCTAAATGACAGAACAACGACGGCAGCGAGAAGATTTCCGGTGACAAGCTCATCACACTCTACGAGTCCTTCATAAAGGATTATCCTATTGTGTCTATCGAGGATCCTTTCGACCAAGACGATTGGGAACACTACGCCAAGTTTACTGCTAAAGTCGGGAAGGATGTCCAGATTGTTGGTGACGACTTGCTGGTTACCAATCCGAAGGTATTTCCTTTCAAGTTCTTTGTGACATTGAAACGAGACTTCATTTTGCAGCGTGTGCAACAAGCGATCTCTGAGAAATCTTGCAATGCTCTCCTGTTGAAGGTCAATCAAATCGGAACCGTGACAGAAAGTATTGAGGCTGTGAAACTCTCTAAGCAAGCTGGTTGGGGAGTAATGACCAGTCATCGCAGGTAAAGTTTGACGATTCACAAACCACTTGCTTGCTGTTACTGAAACCTCTTAACCTTGCAGTGGTGAGACAGAGGATACATTCATTGCAGATCTTGCTGTCGGGCTGGCAACTGTAAGAACAGAAAATTTCATATGAGTGATCTTTGATGTTTTGTTTTTGTTTTTGCAGGGTCAGATCAAGACGGGAGCTCCATGCCGATCTGAGAGGCTTGCGAAATACAATCAGGTAAGTCCGAGGGTTTCTTAAAGCTAGCTCCTGCTGAAGTGGAAAAGAGTCTATGCAGCTTTTGAGGATTGAGGAAGAGCTGGGAGACGCGGCTGTATATGCTGGCGCTAACTTCCGCAAGCCCGTGGAACCATACTAGAGTTTGAGGCGGCGCTATTTAATCAACAAGCACAAGAATAATCTTCTCTTTTTGCTGTTCTCGTCCTCGTCACAATTTTCCTGCAATAACGACGAGTGATCCAAAACTTTAAAGGGAAATACAAATTTTCTTAAAAACTAAGTTTTAAAAGTTTATTCAGTTTTGGAAACGTTTTTAAATATAAAAACTAAGATTTGATTGTTACAAAATCAGAGTGGCGCAGCGGAAGCGTGGTGGGCCCATAACCCACAGGTCGGAGGATCGAAACCTCCCTCTGATAGCAACAATTTGTTTTAACTTTTTAGAGAGATGCCCTGAAGTGTATATAAATGGGTGGGTGAACTCAGATCTCAGCAAGATCAAGTGTAGCATCTGTTCTTATCAGGGCTTTCGTACAAATCGAGAAACGATACAAAGGTTTATTTAATCTGGTCACATTCTCGAGATATTAACAACTGATGGATTAAAACAAAACTCACTCTTCTAATCTCAGAGCTCAGAATGGCTCGTCGTGTCATCCTTTGAACCAACAAAGCTCGCAAGAGAATTCAAGAGAATCTGATACACTTCAATCCCCTTGAAGTATTCTCGAGAGCTTAAGAACTGGAAAGCAAAAAGCAATCGTTAGAAAAGGCAGCAAGGGAAGAATCACTGAACCTCGTTGTGATCGTGGAGAAGAATGGGAGTGTTCGCCATTGGCGAGAATCCAAAGGCCGGAATTCCCAAGTCACGGAAGTAGCGAGCATCGGTTGCGGCAGGGAAGACCTCTGGCTTTGCGAGTCTCTGGTTGGATTTGGATATGGCTTCCTTGAAGACTGACCACCAAGGATTGGAGTCATCGACCGGGGTGTAGTTCAAGGAACCATCTCTTCTCTTCACTGGAGTTTTCTGCTTGAACTGGACAAGGCGAAACTTTCATGGCAAAATCAACACGAGAGAGGGAACTTTGAAAGCTTGATTTACCTCGTAAGTCATGTTTCGCGAGGCGGGAGCCCATTCCTCGGCGATTCTCTTCTCCATGGCAACGGGGTCTGCGAAAGGAGGCATCCTTACGTCGAATCCGGCCTCGGCCTCGGATGGTTGGAGGTTCATGACAAATCCCTGGCGAAGAAAAGCAAGGCGACTAGCATAAGAAGGAAAAGAACAAAGAACAAAAAAAAAAACTAAAGTTGCATGGAATTGCTAGAAAAAAGACATTTTGATCGAGGAACATCAGTCAAGCAGAAGAAAGACTGGGAAAACAACGCAAAGCAAACATTGCATAAACCAAGAAATAGCATCGAAACAAGCCGATATTTTCGCTCGAAGAAAACACGTAAAAAGTTCTCAAGAATCACGAATGCATGGAACCGCAAGCTGAAAATCTGGATAGCACCTAGGATTCTAGAATTGATTGGTACCATACAAGAGAATAAAGAACAAGGGAAATGGAAAGAAAGAATGGAGCACGAGGAACTTACCGTGGGAGTAGGAGTTCCAGCCTTGAGAAACACTGGATTCACCGACACCACCTCGCCCTCGGCCGCGATACCAGCCTTGACAAGATCAAACTGCGCCGCTCGAAACTTGCTCACAATCTCCAAACTCTTCCCCAAGTTCTCCATGGCACTGTTATCGAAGAGCTTGGATCCATGGCCGGGCCGCCCCATGGCCTTCACCGCCAGCCACCACGGCGATCTCTCGGCATAGAACACCCGATACTCGTCCCCCTCGGACGCCAATCCCTCGTCCAGCGCGAGCCCCACGTTAAGATCCTGAAACTCCTTCGAGCCTGTGAATTGCCCAGCGCCATCGTTGCCGCCAATCTCCTCGTCCGGGAGGAAGGAGACATGGACTGAGCGTGGCGGCTTGAATCCCGCCCTCTTGAGCCGCCGGATCGCCTCGAGGTACTGCAATCCCACGCACTTCATGTCCTGGGATCCGCGAGCCAGGACATTGCCGCGAGAATCCTCCGCGGCGGCGAAGGGGGGAGAGCTCCACTTGGAGGGCTCGGCCGGGACGACGTCGACATGGGAATTGAGGAGGAGAGACGGGAGGGAGGGATCGCTGCCCTGCCAGGTGAAGAGGAGGACGGGCTTGCCCGGGACGAATTCCAAGACGCGGGATGCCAGGCCCAGCTCCCCGGCGATGGCGAGCAGGAAATCGGTGGTGGCCGAGTAATCGGGATTGGGATGCACCGAGGGGATCTGGAGGTAGCGCTTGAATCGGTCCAGCGCCGCCGCATCCTCCTGCGCTGTGGGCGGCTCCGGCGGCGATGATCCAGCTGCCGCGGAGGCAGCGAGCAAGACGAAGAGAGAAAGAAGAAATATCGTCATCGAAGAACCCTAGCCTAGCCTCCTCTCTTTTAAAATTTTGGCTCCGATAGAGCCTAGCCTAGGGTTTACAAGGAATGGGGGGGATTTTGGCGCTCCTTGTCGCTCTAATCGTCGGTGCATGCTTCCCGATCGCGCATGGATCCAGCTGCGATGCTGCTGCTGCTGCGCCTGGGATTTATGATGCGGTGAGAGGAAGGAGATTTCGATCGAGCGATTTTTCTTAGCTTGGAAATTTTTCTTTTCTGGCAGATGTGCTTGGCTGAGACTGATGACAGCAGCAAGATTTTGATCCGCGGAGGAACAGTGGTGAATGCCGATCGCCAGTTCCATGCGGACGTGTATATCGAGGATGGAATCATCAAATTGGTAGCTCCAGATTTGAAGGTAGCGTCCTCCTTACCCGCCCGCCCTTCTCTTGTGGATGCTAAAGAACGATTGGCATCACAGGTTCCAGACGGCGTTCGTGTAGTCGATGCGACTGGCACGTACGTAATGCCAGGTGAGGATTAACTTCTTCTCTCGCATTTCTTTTCATTGTTTCTACATTTGTTTTTGCTTCAGGAGGGATTGATCCTCACACACACCTCGCAATGCCGTTCATGGGCCAGGAAACTTGCGACGACTTCTTCAGTGGCCAAGCCGCTGCTCTAGCCGGAGGTACAACCATGCATATTGATTTCGCACTCCCGATCGGTGGTGACCTTCTGAAGGGGTTTGAGAGCTACCGAAGAAAAGCCGAGTCCTCTTGCATGGACTACGGCTTTCATATGGCTGTTACGACCTGGAACGACAAAGTGGCACAAGACATGGAAACTCTCGTGAAAGAACATGGTGAGGTAGTTTTCGTTTTCGTATTTTACAAGTTTGTGTTGATCTCGTGCTGTAGGAATCAACTCTTTCAAATTTTTCATGGCGTACAAGGGGAGTTTGATGGTGACGGACGAACAGCTCTTGCAAGGGTTTAAGACGTGTAAAAGCCTTGGGGCAGTACCACAAGTTCATGCGGAAAACGGTGATGCCGTGGCCGAAGGTCAATCTCGAATCTACGACTTGGGCATCACTGGACCGGAGGGACATGCGTTGTCTCGGCCATCACTGGTAAGCAAAACTTTTAATATTGCTTTCTTCATACTTTTCTTTTACATGCGAAGCTGGAAGGAGAAGCCACAGCACGAGCCATCAGACTTGCAAAGTTTGTAAACACGCCTCTGTATGTGGTTCACGTAATGAGCATAGATGCACTGGAAGAGATTGCTCGAGCTCGTCAAGCAGGTCGGTTTGGTATTTAGAACCTTCGTCTAAAATTGAAGCTTTGGCAGGACAACGAGTGATTGGCGAGCCAGTTGCATCTGGTTTGGTCTTGGACGACTCCAAGTTGTGGGATCCAGACTTTCGGGTAGCTGCACAGTACGTATGCATGCTTCTAAAAGTTTCAGCTTTCAAGTTTTTCTCTCTTTGCAGATACGTGATGAGCCCTCCTATACGGCCTGCTGGACATAATGCGGCACTTCAGGCCGCCCTCTCAAGTGGATTTTTGCAGGTGAATACACTATCTACTAAATTCTAGTGCTCTAAAAATCAAGCTAACACGACGTTTCAGCTTGTCGGCACAGATCATTGTCCTTTCAATTCATCACAAAAAGCAGCCGGCAGAGGCGATTTTCGGAAAATCCCGAATGGTGTCAATGGTAAGTTTACATCTGTGTTGCTTCAATGGTGCTTTTTTGACAATTGACTTTTTTCAGGCATAGAAGAGCGAATGCACATTGTGTGGGATGCTATGGTGGTAAGTAACAGCAGCTTCCTCATTTTTCTAGCGTCCAATATTTTCTGGAACAGAACTCTGGGAAGATTTCTCCATCAGATTATGTTCGAATAACAAGCACTGCCTGGTGAGTGAGTCATTCTCTTGCTTTCAACTTTTTATTGATTTTAAGCTCAATCTCGCATGGCACAGTGCACAAATATTCAACATATATCCGAGGAAAGGCGCGGTGTTGCCTGGCTCAGACGCGGATCTTATCATCTTGAATCCCAACAAAACAACAACAATCTCTGCAAAAGCTCACCACTCGAATATTGACACTAACATATACGAAGGATGGCAAATCAAGGTAATAACTTCATGCTTCATTTTATCGCGGGCACTGAGATGTTCTTCCATCTTCCAGGGGAATATAGAAGTGACCATCAGCCAAGGCAGGATTGTGTGGGAAAATGAGAGACTCAACGTTGCTAGAGGGGCCGGGAGATACGTGAAAATGGCACCATTTGGACAACTCTTTGATGGGATTGTGAAGGCAGATATTGCTTACCTCTCCTCTTTGAAGGCTCCAGTGTATAGAAAATAAATGCGAGAGAGTGGATCTTGTGATGCTAACAAGGTATATAGTTTGTATATAAACAAATGATTATAAGGATAAACCCTCAAATATTTCAGACATTGTCATTACATTATTTTAACAAGTATCGAAATGTAAAAACCCCTATTAGAAAGCTTGTATAATTCTGGATTTTGTATAAATGCCCAAGAAATAATCTCTAAAATCAAAATATTTCATTTTGTTTTGCATGGTGATGGCAGATCAAAAAGCACTGCCAAGCCCAAATGCAGTCTATCCCTACATCAGCTACTGGATTGCAAACATTCCTGCAGGCAGCTCTGGTAAGTGTTACAAACTTACCTTATCTTATCTTTGAGCTAATGTTGATTGGATCTGTTGGTGGCTTTGGCGTGAAAGGAGCTGTGAATGGGAGCATTTTGGAGCTGGCTCCTTCCAACACAAGCAACAACATCCACTACCCAAATCCATTCAGTGCAAAGAACCACACATATGATTTCGTGCTTGTGCCACAGAGGAATCGCTTGGGACAGCCGCATTGTTCTCTCTCTGGCAGATATCATCCGGCAATATCATTGTGGAAGCCCTCTCCAGACCGTCTCGTTTACCACCTCTCTCCATTAACTGTTTTCATTTATATTGTTAAGGTACAACCCAATAAAATGAAACATCAAGACCTATTGATCTAAAACGTATTGTCTTCATCGTTAGGGATATTTTTCAGAGGCTCCTGACTGAACAATAACAAAAAATGTTTATCATTCTTGAACTTTTGAGTGAAAATGAAATTCAAAGATAGCAAAAGAGTAAAATTATGCCTCTTGTTTTTGTTTCTTAATTGAGCAAAAAAGTGGTAAGTGAGAATAGCAAGAATGGTCATTGAGACTCACAAAATTATTCAACGAAAATCAAAGGAAGTCAATAAAAGTTAAAAATAAATAAAACTTTGAGCTGAACTCATCTCACTACATCAATCAGTTGAGGTATAAGCATTAGAAAGCAACACGTAAAACGAAGAGTCGCCACCCTCCAACTTCACTGCCTTGTCTGCGGCGGTGGCACCCTTCCTCGCATCTCCAAGAACTCGGGAAGCCGCCAGCAAAGTAGTCAATGCAACATCGTCAGGCACAAACGGCATGCTCTCGAGCAGCTCCTCGGCCTCTTGCAAGCGCCCGGCTCGCCCCAAAAGATCGAGCATGCAGAGGTAGTGATCCACCACCGGACAGATCTCATAGTCCGCCATCTTCGAGAAGAACTCGCGCCCGATTTCCACACGCCCGACGTGGCTGCACGCCGCCAGAGCAGTGATGAACGTGATCTGATCCGGAAGCTCGCCCACAAGCTCCATCTCCCGGAACTTCTCCAGCGCTCTCTTCCCGCGGCCATTGTGATCGTAGGCCGCGATCATGGCGTTCCAGGCGACGGCGTTGCGGCTGGGCATGGCCGAGAAGACAGCCTCGGCCTCTTCCAAGCTCCCGGAGCTCCCATACATTGTCACGAGCGAGGTTCCCGCGTACTCGTCCAGCGGGAGGCCGCGATCGTCGAAGTTTGCGTGAAGGATCCTCCCGGTTCTCACGTCCGAGAGGCCACTGCAAGCCTCGAATGCGCTCGAGAAGGTGAGCTCGTCCGCTGGGAATCCCTCGAGATCCATGCGCTTGAAGAGATGGACCGTCTCTGGGAAGTCCCCGGCGCGGGCGTAGGCCGCCACGATCGTGTTCCACGCGCTCACGCTCGCAAATCTCCCTGGCATCGAGTGGAAGAACTCCCGCGCGAGATGTAGATGGTCGCGCTGGGTGTAGCCGCACAGCATCGAGCTCCAAGAAACTCTATCTCTCTCCAGCATTCCGTCGAAGATCTTCTTAGCGCGCTGGAGCTGGCTGCTCTGGACGAAAGCCCAGATCATCGTGTTGGCGGAGATAGAGCAGTGAGACGGGATCCTCTCAAAAGTCAGCTCCGCTCGCTCGATCTCCCCGTTGCGAGCGAATGCGGAAGTCATGGCGCTCCAGCTCACGACGTTTCGGCGAAGCATTCGCGAGAAGCTTTGCTCGGCAGCGATCAAGCTCCCGCACCTCCCATACATCGTCACCAGCGCGGTTCCTAGGTTGACGCTCGAATCAAGGAAGCCGCCGAGCTCGGCCTCGCTGTGGATGGTCTTTCCGAGCTGGACATCGTCGCAGGAATCTAGCACGGAGATGAGAGTGATGCTGTCCGGGTGGACTCCCTCGAGATCCAGCTTCTGAAAGAGCGCTTGCGCCTCTTTGTTATGCCCGGTTTCGGCATAGACTGCGATTATCGCGTTCCAGGCAGTAACATCCGGCTGGAAAATCGCATCAAAAACATTTCTTGCTATAACAATTTGACCGGATCGAGCGAACATAGCAATGCACAGCGTCCACGAAGCGTTATCACGTTGTGGCATGAAATTAAACACAACCTGCGCTTCATCAAAATGCCCATTAAAGGCATTTGCTGAAAACAAGATGTTCCACGAGAAAACGTTCCTGGGGGATCGCATCCGACCAAAGACAGTCCACGCATCGTCAATGCTACCGCAGATGCCATACATGTAAATTAGCATGTTGGTGAGAAACCGTGAGGTGGGCTCGAGGCCGCTCAGCGCGATGTAGTGGTGGAGATGCCGCCCTTGGGGAAGAAGAGTACATTTTCGGAGGAGAGAGGCAAAGAAAGAGGGATCGGGAGACTCTGGGAGATTGGAAAGCTCCTCTTCCTGGAGCTGACCGATGCAATGCGGGTGCTCGTGGCGGCCGCTGTTCTTCCTCCTGGATCGCAGCGTCTTCCGCAATGCCATTCATGGTTGCCCAAGAGCCTAGAACCCTAGAAGGCAAAGAACCCTAAATTTGAATTCTTTCTCGTTGGCTATGGCGTCGCATGGCAATGCGGCTAATCGTGTCGCCCTCGCGTCGATTCTTCTCGCCTTCTGCGTCGCCGGATTTGGAATCCCCACTCCAACGCCGTGGCCGGAGCAATTCCACGCGCTGCTCTTCCAGAATTCGAGCGGCAAGCTCTCCACGATCGACCTGTGGTATGATTTCCCGAATGGCAGGAACTTCAATATCATCCACTCGCAGCTGGGATCCACGCTGTACGATCTCGAGTGGACAAATGGTACCTCTTTCTACTACGATCTCGACGCCGGCAGCTGCAAGACGATGCATTTCCCAGTGGGGATTTTGTCACCAGATTGGCTGGTGAGCAATTCCACCTACATTGGTGTGGAGAAAGTGGGAGGATTCACTTGCAATGTCTGGTCCAAGGCCGACGGTTTCATCGTCTACTACGAGGATGTGGAGACGAAGAGGCCTGTGCACTGGCTCTTCTTCACAGGTATAGTCTCTTTTCTTTCGCTCTCGTGTAAGAACTAAGAATGCAAATCTTCCAGGGATGTCACAGTATGTCATGACTTTCGAGCCAGGCAAGGTGCTCGAGGACGAAGCCTGGCAAGCTCCATGGTACTGCTTTGATAGCGAAGATAACGAGAGTTTCCAAGAAAATGGAGGTGATCTAAAGGTACCAAATGAGCTCTGGAGCGTTCTCAAGCACACGACACTCTTGGATATGGCGGAAAGATCTCGTATGTGACAAACTTTATTTCAAGGTGAACACTATCGAATTTGTTTTTCTAGCCAGAGGGAGTGAAGATTGACTTGAGCTGCTGTATGGCCTTCTTGTTGAGAAAGAAGGTCTTCATCAACACCTCGTCCAGGATTTTGGATCCAAACATGGAGTTGGCGATCAGCTGAAAGCCAGGGAACTGCGAGTTGAGCGTAACGATCCCCACTGCGCTGGTGTTTCCAACGTTGAGCTGCCAGTGGATCAAACCCCGGGGGAAGATCATCACGTCGCCTTTGGAGATGACCCGAGCGAAGAGCTTGTTGTCCGTGGTGACAAACCCGGCGTACATGCTCCCCTTCACGACGTAGATCATCTCGGACGCGCGGGGATGGGTGTGAGGAGCAATCAAGCCGCCTTTCGCGAAGTCGAGCCTCGCGATGGAGAGGCCGAGCGAGTTGAGAGCCGGGTACTCGTTGACGGATCCAAACACCGCTGCAGCGCCGAGTGGAGTGTTCGTTTTGGCTGAACGCTTGAGGGCGCCAAAGATGAAGTCCTCGGTGGTGGTGTTGGAGGCTTTTTTGCAAGGGAAGCCATTGATGGTGAGATCCTTGGAGAGGTCAGCGACGCAAAAGTCTTGCAGTGGATCTGGATCGGCGGCATTGACACGGATCGAGAATGAAAGAGAGACGATCATGATCGTCATCATCAGCAGCAGTGACAACGAATTCATGGATTTTGGGACCACCATCTTCTTCGGAGTGTTCATAAGAACATGGAAACTTTTGGAAGAGATCTATAAGAACTCGTGATGACTAAAGGAAAGAGATTGGAGCTGCACTTATACGCGAGAATTGACTTCGTTTTCACGCAAATGCAAATGCGGGACATGCTCTTGAGGTTTTGCGGAGCGTGAAAGTTTTCAGATTGACTTTATGGCTTCCAAGTTGATCTTTAAATTCCCAGTTAACGTGTACTAGCGTTTAGTCACTGATAGATAACGTTTGGACCCGGCAAAGTCTAGCGAGATGGAGGGCGTGAAGTTACTACAAACAGCTATCCAAAGTTTTTAAAATTTTCCCGGGAACAATCTTAATCACGAGATGGACTGCATGTTTCCATGTCTGTTCTCGCAAACCATTCGGCCAGCCGAATGGATTTTTTCTAATTACTTTTTCAATAGGAATTTTTAAAACATAATGGATATTCTTAGTATATAGGGAGCACCACCTTTTCCAAAATATAAAATCTCTGGATTCAAAGGAAAATGTTTGATGAGGATAGCATTTCAATCCTCGAGGCTTGGAGTAGCTATACAGTCACTCGAAGCGAAAGCTTGTCACCTACAGCTCAACGTCAGACGAGCACCACCTCAGTGTCAGCAGCGTCACACTGTCGGATTTACAGTCAGCTATTCCAGTGTGGGGATTCTGATCAAATTCTTACGTACAGAGAAATTGAATCGTGGTAAAGGAGCTACTACATTCTCATCCACATGAAATTCGCTCTTCTTTGATTCCTCCTAGCCCGACAAGAGGGGAAGAACCCTAAACCCTAAATGTGGGTGGGAGCATTCTTCATCGTCTTTCTCGCCGCGGTCGCTGGATCATCTTGCGGCGCTGCTCGATTGTACCGCTTCCCACTGTCGAACAGGGTTGCGATCCAGGACTGGAGGCCATTCAATGTCGCTCATCGCGGATCAAATGGGGAAATTCCAGAGGAAACGGCACTGGCGTATAAGGTGAGTAGTGAAGTTTGGGAGCCATGGATTACTTTAATTTTCTCCGTCCAGAGAGCAATCGAGGAAGGAGCCGATTTTATAGAAGCGGATATCACAGCTACAAAGGATTGCGTTCTTATTTGCTTCCACGATCCAATTCTCGATGATGTCACGGACATTGCTGCGCATCCGGAATTTAGAGGGCGAAGAGCTACGTACGAATTCGAGGGACAAAATCTCACAGGCTTCTTTGTTGGTATGTTCATTCCTCTGTATCTCATCATCTCCCTTCTTTGTATAGTGGACTTTACATTTGAAGAGCTTCAAAGACTAAGACTTCGCCAGCGGTATAGCTTTCGGGATCCTTCATTCAACGGTGATTTTTCTTTCTAGAAAAAGTTTCTGGACACGTTATCGAGTGCTTTGCAGGAAAGCTTCAAATCATCACATTCGAACGTTTTATCTCAATCGCCTTGGAGGCGTCTCGCACAGTTGGAATCTATCCGGAAATCAAGAGTCCGGTCTTCATGAACAAACATGTAAGTGAGAAAAAAAACAATCTTTTCTTCTCTCTTGTGTTTGTTTTTTCTTAAAAATGAAATCGTTTCTGCAAACAGGTACAGTGGCCTCAAGGCAAGAGAGTGGAAGATTCATTCATGGAAATCCTACAGAAGTATGGCTACAAAGGAAAATATAAGTCGGACGAGTGGAACAAGCAGCCAATCTTTATACAAAGCTTTGCTCCAACGTCGCTTATGTACATCTCGAACATCACAGACTCTCCAAAGATCTTTCTGATCGACGATTACACGGTTCGTACGCAAGACACAAACCAGGTATCCACAAACCAAAGTCGATTGTATGCTGAAAAGCTTCAATTGTGGCAGAGTTATGCAGAGATAACATCAAACAGATACTTGGATTTCATCAGCAACTATGTTGTTGGCATTGGACCCTGGAAGGATACGATAGTGCCTCCAAACATCACCACTGGTTATTTGATGAACGCGACGCACCTGGTTTCAAGAGCTCACTCTCGGCATCTCCAGGTTTGGCCGCTCCAAATTTTCTTACCTTTCGCTACCCTCGATTTTGTCTGTTCTTAAGGTTCATCCCTACACGTTTAGGAACGAGAACCAGTTCTTACATTTTGATTTTCATGAGGATCCATACGAGGAATTCGAATACTGGATCAAGACTGTTAAAGTCGATGGACTCTTCACGGATTTTCCAGGGAGCTTGCACAGGTATCAGGAGTGGAACTCCAAAGAGTAGTGAAAAACAGTGGCAGTAACGTTTTAATATTCACATTTCCTTGCCAATTTTGGTGAAGAACCTGAAATCCATAGGGGGATATTTTTGTTGGCTATGGCAATGCGCCTGTGCCGCCCAGGGGTGCTGAACAGCCGAACTCACGGCATTCACCCATGTGTCTACAAAATATCTGAATCTGCCACGTGGCCACCTAGGCAAGTCTTTAAGAAACGTGGAAATGGCTATAGCAGGGGAGGTTAATTAAATCCAAGGCTACCCACCTCGCTTGTTAATTGGAAAGATTAACTAGTCGAGTTAATTCCTTATTGTACTAAATGTTACATAAGAGAAGATGAAGTAATGTGCTCAAAGAGGAGGGGATGCTTGGGGGCACTATGTTTTCACTGGCCAACTGCAAGCTATCTTGGAATTGGTAGAACGGGGGCTCCAAAGTGCCAGGCAAAGTGCAATTGCGCCTAATCGCCCATTATCACACACCCTTGTAGAAAAAAGATCAAGAACACTTTTTTATTCTTTAGATTTGCTCATGGCTATTGTGTTATTGCCACCAACATTCTCTCATGCTCCAGAATTCTCCCTTAAACTCTCTCAATCCTCCTAGAAGAATACTCTAAAGATCTAACTCCTTAAGCACACTCTTAAATTCACAATTATTATTCCTAGGGATATTGTGTTGCCACTAGCAACACACACAAGCATTTTATATTTGCACAAGCAGGTTGTTAAACACTTTTAAATGCTTCAAGAAAGAGGTGAGGCCTAGCCTTGAAGACACACTGTAAACCTAGCAATGCAAGTGTGTAGAAGCCCAACTTCTAATTTAGAAAATAGATCCCTCATCCAGCTTCCCAGAGGCAATCTTATCCCTAACACGTGAGCTCAGCTACACTAGGAGGCCAAGCCTAACCCTTTTCTATCATCACCTTCCTTTATACAGTTGATTTTCCCAGATTTCTTGGCCAAAGCACTACAAACAGCATTGACCTCTAGTGTGATTTCCTAAATATTAGGTACTTCAAGTGGTAGGATCCACACTCTACGATCTCAAGTGGACAACAACACCTCCTTCTACAATCTTGATGCCAGCACACAAATGATATTAAACATGTAGTGTGCTCATGGTCATGTGTCCTTGTTTGAACAGTTCACAATGAAGTTGATCCAAAAGCACCAACTTTTATCTCTTACAAATGGAATAGAAGTCATTTTTTAGGGCAGAAACCATAAACCCTAAACCCTGTAGACAAATACACAGGTGTTCAAGAACAGTGGTAAAGAAGCAAGTGTGTTGTTGTAGCACTTGCATAGTCAATTAATTGCATTGCCACTTGAACCTCAAGACATTATTTCCCAGGTAAATACTTTGACATGACAGGATGTTTTCTATGTGATTCCTTTGAGGCAGAATGGCTCTAGACTGATTAAAAATTCCTTTAGCTTCATCTTGGTTGCACCTTTCACATAGAACAATTTCCATTGAAAACTTGGTCATGGCTTCAACTTTAAAGAAAAAAGTAAATATGGAGTATGTGTAATTTAAGGGTTTATTTATTCAGTTTTAGGGCTAACTGGTAGTGTATATTCTTAGATTATTTATTATTTTATTGAGGAAAGTAAGGAAAATTTTAAATAAATATACCAATTATCACAAAAAGGAATAAAAAGAACTAGCAATAATAACAAAGAATTTTTCAAATTTTTATAGTTGATGTTGAAATTGAAATTCCTAGGCAGCTTCTACAACTTTTTAATCCCTTTATATCAATAGAGCAAAGTACTTTAGTTTGTTTTTGGCTTGAAAATCAAATGTAAACATTGATAACTAACAATAAATTTTCTTTTGTGGCAAGTCAAACTTTGGGTGATGAATAAGAACATATATGCATTACACAGCTTAATTTTCTATTAACTAACATAGAGGAAAACAATTCACCCTTGAAGCCTTTCTTTAATCCAGCTGTATAAAGGGTGTAAGACCATTTCTATACAAGACCAAATGGTGCCACTTAAGCAAAACCATTTGGCAACAAAAAAGATATTATTGGATTAACCCTAATTGTGTAGATGATAAAAAGATTGAATTTAATTTTCCAATACTAATCAATTTTCAAGGATGCCCAATGGTGTATTTTGGGTGCCCTTACTCAGTTAATGAATTGTGTGTTAGGCAACCCTGAAAAACACCATTTGGTATGAATGGTGTTTTTTGGGTTGTAATTGGGAGTAAACAACCTACATACCATTTATAGGTAGAATTCGGAGAAAAATGAGTTATTATTTTTGTCATAGAATGTACAAAGTTAAGGAAGGCTCACACCTACAGTTAGAGTTGATTTGGCATTAGCCACTGCCACATTTTTATCATTTAAGTGTGTTATGAGTGATTACATTGTTTATAGATCTCAAGAGGCTAAATTTAGTTGTAATGAACTCTATATTTTTGTGAAAGAGAGCTTTATAAATCTTAGTCCTATTATCTCATGCCAACTTTGTAAAGACTTGAGAGTTTAAGCTTGAATATCTCATTTGAGAAATTGCATGATGGAAAAGAAAATATAACAAACAAAATATGGAAAGAAAACAAAAAAACTATGCACACAGAGCTGATGATCTGCCTTGCTTGAGTGCTGAAATCTCTCCCTCTCAGCCGTGGTGACACTCTCACCTTCATGCCATGCTTCCCCGACACCAATCCGGATATGATGTTGTTGTCAACGATGATCCAGAAGCCCCAAGCGGATCATGGCTTTTAGGCAAATCAGTGAAGCTTAGGACCGGGACAGAAGGCTGAAACAAAATAAAGAAAAGATGGAAAGATGGAAAACAATTGGCACTTTGCCATCAAAATAAAAGGAAACTTGCTTACAACTCAGCCCAACTTATAAATGCTTCATTTTCACTCAAACCACTCAAAGATCTCAAATGTACTATACCTCGAAAGAAATTAGAAATAGAACTCTACTAGACTCAAGAAAGATCAAGATTTTAAACACTAGAACATGTGCTTAAATAAAGTTTTCTAATAATGAGTGTAAGGTGAGAAGAAACTAGAGCTTTGGTTTCACTCTCTCTCACTCTTTCACTTTCGATTCCTTTGAGTTTTGAGTTCTTGATGACCAGATTGGAGGGAGGACCAAGTCGAGCGAGACTATGAGATATAGAAACTTTTAAGCACTTCTTGCAGTGCTAACTGTTTTTTTGCTTTTTTTTGTCTTTCATATTCAATCTTCCTAGTGAAAGAGAGAGCTAGTTGAAGAAAGAACACAAAAAGAAAGTCAAAGAAAGTTGTGATTAAAGAGACACAACAAAAAGACAAGAAAATCTCTCAACCAAATCTTCTCAAAGTGATGATTTAAGAAAACTTTCTTAGAGATTCTATTCTAGAGCTCCTAATGTCTATGGATGGTGAAAAAATGGATGATACACTCCAAAGATGATGTGTGTTTTTTATTGTATGTCTATGTATGTGTGGTAATGTTGTTTGCTCAATCACTCTTTGAAAGCATTTGACACATAAATGGAGAGTTGAAACCCAGCCATAATATAACTAAGAGGAATGAAGGTGAATTCTCACTAAACTTGTTGCAAGGAGAGTGTGATGAAGTTATGATTGTCACTACTCGATAGCTCCTTGGAGGATGACACAGAGGCTGCATCAAACTAAAATCTACCTACCCAAGAAGTCAGAATGTCATGATACAAATTGGGCCATTGCACCCTTTGGTGGTTCCTTCACCCCAAAAAGTAACTTACTTGGTCAGACATAACTTTTGTCAAGAAGCTCCATAAGTTGCTTCTTGAGTTCAACCATCTCATGTTCTAATGATATAGAGCTTTTATAGGTGGTTTAAAACCTAGAATAATCTCAATCTGATGATCAGTATCATAACTAAGAGGTTACCCTAGTAGTAAATCCTTTGGAAAGATATCTTGATTCTTTGCCAACAATTTCAATATTTCCTTTGGTACAGAATCAACCTTGTTACCAATTCGAATTGAGTCACTATCACCCTCAACTTCTATCACTTGAACCCAAAAGGTTTGACATCCCTTCTTAGCTACTTTTTGAGCAGCTCTTGTAGTTAGGAACTTAACATCCCAATCCTTTAAGGAGCCCTTTTGCAACTGAAAAGATACATTAAGATGTCCTTCTAGCCAGAAGATTTATAGGTGATATTCCAATAAAAAGATTGGACTTGATAGAGTTGAAGATACCAAATTTTTAGATGATGTATGTACTTGACTACCTTTTGCAAACAGAAGTATATGGGCAATATCTACTCAGCTTTCAATCCTAACAACTCTACTAAGTCTTTGAATATGTATGAATTTTTTCAACAAATATATCAAATGGATTTATAGTGCTGCACAAAGTCACATCATGTTAAAGTTCAATCATCACTCAGATTCAATATTCGCGGATAAAGCCTACTAGATACATAAATGGATTAATGTTTGCATTGACTACAAGAATATCTTGAGGAAAGTAACAAAAGTAACTCACTTCCTCTTCCTTATAGTTTGCATTGATCAACTTGTCAACCCCTTCAGCTTCACCACCACTATCTTCCCTAATGACATTAACATAAGACCTTGTCTTATGTTTGTTGGGACATTCTGAGGACTTATTGTAAGCAACCAAAGGGAACAACTTGAGAGATGATCTATAGCGGTTCAAATATAGAGGGAAAGGGCCTATGAACAAGAATGCACCCCCTTTTCCAATTGGTTAAGGGTTTTGGGATATTTGGGGTTAAGCGTCCTTGGGTTTGAATAGTACTGGGCTGGGTGACCTCCTGGGAAGTCCAAACTTCAGGAGCTTATATTTGGTATTAGAGTGGTCTCGGATCCGACTCTGTTGGTTGGCTAGGGGATCCGACTCTGTTGGTTGGCTAGGGGAATCACACCACATAATCCGACTCTATTGGTTGGCTATGGCTAGGGGAATCACACCACATAATCCGACTCTATTGGTTGGCTAGGGGATCCGACTCTGTTGGTTGGCTAGGGGAATCACACCACATATTGATTGACATCTGGCTAGTCCAGTTTGCTCCCGT